ACACACACATAACAAAAAAGTCGAGTGAGTGAATTCTCAGTGGATCTGTTTATTTACCTACATCTTTGCATATTTGTCACACTTGAATTTTTTGGGTGAATTTTAGTATTAGAAAAAGATAACCCAGTAAGTCAGTCATGCAAACATGTGGCAATCAAACTATCCAAATCTCTCATTTTTGAAGTGATTATTTGGTATTTATCAACTTATTCTATACAATGGCTGAACCAATTATTCAACAAATATCAGATTGCAATTTATTGAGATGTATTTATTAATTCACTGAAAAGCATTTTATCAATGCACTATTTCAAACGAGGCTATAAAACAGAGCTTTCCTTCCATGACAGTACTACTGGAGTGCATGAGTATTTAAAATGCCAGCACACTGGAGCTTCGATGTCAACTTTGAATGGGTCAGTTTTAGGGAATGAAGTTAGTGTGTCACGTTGATACCTTGTTTCTGTTAATGCTTGTAAGTAATGTTTATGTTAACTTTCTTATTAGAAACACCATTTAATGAGTGAAAGCTAATGAGTAAAATATGATAATAAACTATTAAACAGGAATAGTGTCTAACACTACTCCTAGAATTTATTTATTTTTATCTGGCACCAACACCACTACACCAAAAAATGCTCATAAATCATGGTGTTTGGGATTTTGAGCTGTCTCGCTCTCTCTCACTCAGCTAGAGGACAAGAGATGGTTCCCATGGTGAAGTGGTATTACAGCCATACATGCCATACGGTGACCTGAGGGAAAGTTGAGGGAAAGCCCTGGTCAGCTGGCCATTGTCGGCGACTTAAGACACCAAATGTCTGCAATCTATAATCCAGTTTTGAGATCCCTTCCCAGACGCCTTAACGCCCACTCACACCCTGGGCGATCTGACCTCAGGAAATCACATGATAGGGTGGGGCTAGGTTTCACAATGAGCTCACCCAAAACCTTGGCTGATTGTTACCTACACCCATTTTCACACCTTGGCTCATGTGATTAGGTAGAGGATCACCAGGGTGTCCTTTGTCCCTCTTTGGGGGGGACACCCCCACAGGGTTTAAATCTGGGATTCTCCACCATTTGACCCAAGAACTGAAGAAGCTTCTCGGATGAGAGGGGAAAAGTCTTCAACCAACCTAAGTCCAGACGCTTTTCTTTCTAAGCTCCTTAGACTACGATGACCTGGATGACTGAGAACCTTCACAGACACCAATCACATTAACATTCTGTTTTTAAGACACACAATAAAAGTGTTTACTACCTGGGTGTGCGGCTTTTTGGTTGTTTGGGTCTCCTGGGCAAAGGAAGAGACAGCGTTGTTTTTAACTCAAACCTTTAACTGCTTAATAAATTTAATAAAATATACTTTGAGCATAGTCTTCTCTCTTATAAAATGAACCCAACAGTAGCTAGATTGTCTGTGCCACCTCAAATGGCTCCTTTAGATGAGGAGTAGTGGCTCTAATAAGTGGCTCTAAGGCCACTTATATCCACGGTCTTGTTTTTTCGGTCACTGCCAATAGGTAAGCATAGGTAAGCGTAGGGATGTAGATCAACTAGTAAATCAAAGAGGAATCCCACAGGCAAATGGGAACCAAAAAGAGGCCGCTAAGAAAGCCGCAACTGCCAAATACCTGCAGAGAGTAAGGCAGGTCCTAAGGAGTGATCAGATACCCTGCACTCGGTGCAATGACCCCCAAGCAAATTGTATTTTACTAGGTTTTAGCATTGAAGTATATTTGCACAAGCTTTTGGTCATAATAACTAAGAGCTTTTACTGGGGTTCCTGAGTGTTTCAGATCAATGGCCACGGAGTATACCCGTGCTACAACTGTTACTCACTGTCTCATATGCCTGTGCATACAGTTTGAGAAGAGAAAGAGAGACTGTTAAAGTGTAAATTTATGGTCTTGCAAATGAGTCTGTATGGCAGGGGAATATGGCCAAAAATATTTATCACAATATATATTTGAAAATTTGCGATAACGATATAACTCACGATATAATTGCTGCGAGACAAAATACTTTACAACTCCACAACTTTATTAGTGCAAAAAAAACCCCATCATTTAGCAGCTGTTTTTCATGTGCATTAAAGCGACAGTATATAAAAATTTAACAGTGCAAATGCAAATTCCTTGCTGACAGTTTAACCAAAAGGCATTTCCAGTGGAAATGGGCTGACATATCCTGAGCATAACCATGTATAATATCCACTAAAGTTAAAAAGAGGTGCTTTGCAACATGAAACTGTGCCAAATAAATAAGTCAAATATGTATTTTTCAGACCATAAGGCGAACGGGATTATAAGGTGCGTTAAGCAAAACAAAACAGTCAGATAAGTCAAACTTTGCTCAACTTCCTCCACTTCTGTACCATTGATTCATTAATGCTGAATTCTCTGGCAGCTGTTCTATTCCCAAGTTCTACTGCATAACTGATAGCCTTGAGTTTGAAATCCGCTTCTTAAGCATGTTTCTTAACAGGTGCCATTTTGGGGTCCTTATACACACACAATACAGTAAATATTATGCTGAAGCACAGTATGTATTACTCCACGAGGCTCCTGACTACGGTAGCCACAATGCTCCGACAATCCATCAAGCGGTGCAGCTTCGTAGCTTACCAAAGTTGTACTAAAACATCTTTTGACTGATTTTTGAGCGCAGTGTACCACATAAAATCGGTTTGAAGTCAGTAAGCACAACCAGAATTTATATATAAGATTATAAGGTGCACTGTCGATTTTTGAGAAACTTAAATGCTTTTAAGAGCGCCATACAGTCGGAAAAATACGGTAATAAAGACGGCCTGCTTGCATGTTCTACAAAAGTGCTTTGGTGTGTATGTGACGGACGAAAACCAACCCAGTTCCACATCACTGAAGATCCACTGAAGGATCCGCTTTTGCCCTTCTCATTCTCCGTCGCCACCATGCTTTTTCCACAATGTGCGTATGAAAACAAAGGCACTGCACATGCGCTTTTTACTCATATTCTATAGCAATATTTCATTTTCTTATCATTGCCTAACATTGTACCAGTATTAGCGTGAACGGTATAATGTGGCCCAGCCCTATGTGTCTATGTACGCATTTCTGTACAGATATGGGGAGAGGGGTTTTCCCCCACAGCAGATGTGCTTTCATCACAGACAGAAGCTCCAGTGCCCACTTTTCATTGTTTTCAACACTTGTTTTGCTTTGGTTGTTTGTATGTTAGATCTTTGCTCTTCTCTGCATCTAGCTGAAGGACCAACAATGGCTCAAGCAAGAATGGCCCACCGACTGGTTGTACTACATATTTTGTACACTGCCTCCATCGACAGCAAACACTCTCTGTAGGTAGACGGGCAGTGGAGTGCCTTCCTGCTACCCCAACTCAGGTATAAAATAAGCCTGAAATCAATCTGAGAAGTATGCATATTTTTATATTTATAACGTGATCAATTTTGGGGTGTTTTTATTTTTTTTTTACTATCCCCTCAAGGTCGGAGTAACTGTGGTATTAATTTGTTTTTCTATTAGGTTAAAATCACAGACAGGACATGTGAAAGAGTTAAATGTGTGAATCTCCTGCTCAGAGGCCAGCCCTAACTTGTAACAAGCAATTTAGAAATACTGAGAGCCTCAGATTCACCATCTTGACTTGATGACTATCCCATGCCCTGCCTCTGCTGCAGCAGCAACAGCAGACAACTCGTCCACCTCCACTGGCCTCCCCGGTGCCTTTCTCAGTTTTCCAAAAATGTTATTAGTTTGTTTTTATAAATACTACACCTTTGAGGGTTTTTTTTATTCCTCCAAGTATAGTTACCAACCATTAGATCAACCTGCTTTGCAACACAGCTGCTGAATCATGTGTTTTTGATCAGTCAGCCAGCTGTAGAATAGAGCAAAGTTACAACATCCAAAGAGCTTAAGTGAAAGTGAAGTGTTAAAAACACTGCACAACTTTTCATGTTGTAATTTTTATGTTTGACTTTTTTTTGTTCCTTGCATTCCCGGTGAACTACACCGTCTCTCCCTCGTCAACCAATTAGCATTCAGCAGACACTTATATTATCTGCTTCCAGCTAGGATTTTGGAGGATTGCACGGGAGCATGTCTGTGGTGGGTGAAAACCTCTCTCCGCCCTGTCCAAATCGAAATGTGTACACAGACGAATATTTGGAGGACCATAAATTATGCTTTAGAAGCCAGATTTGGGAATCTGTTGCAGAAATTAATCAGGATTGGCTAATCAGACAAAGACGGGAGTGTTTCAGATGTTACTTCACCAGTGACAAATTGTGACAAACGAATGCCTGAATACACTCGTACTTCAATAAACAATTCTTTTATGAGATCCGTGGCTATTCAAAAAAATAATATTTTTTTTATAATCCAGGGCTCAAGCTCCTGATGCCCACGGTTAAAAAAATATGCCTGCCACAATCTAAAGAAATGGCTGAGAAGTGAAATCAGTCAGTCTGGAAAAGGTTACAAAGCCATTTCTATGGCTTTAGTACTCAAATGAACCACAGTGATAGCTATTACCCACAAATAATAGATCAGACTCAGAACACTGGCAACTGGACTAGCCAGATTATGAAAATTACTCAAATTAGTGTGTGTATGTGTGTGTGTGTAATATGCCTCCTTAGGGACTTATTAAATTAAAAAAAACAAAAACATCTCTTACCTCAGAAGATCCTTTAGTTCTTGATTTTGTTTCCTTGAGAGACTAAATAAAACAAAACAAACCATTTTTGTGAGATACTTTAACGTATAAGAGAACATACACATACAACAGGTGAACACAATGCTCTGTTAGTTTGGAGGATTTTCATACCATTTGCCCAAATTCCACCATCAAGCCTCCGTCTGTTGCCTCAAATGACTTCATTACATCCTTGTTGAAATCAAAGAGACGGAACCTACAACAAACAGTCATTACCCATTTATGGCAATATACATTTTTCTAAGTTTATATTTCAGGTTTCTCTTTACCTACCCTTTCACTGTTTTCACTTCTTCAACATCCCTTATTTTAGAGGAAAAGTGATAAAGAATGATTAAAAAGGTTTTAAGTAAACATAGCTGAAAATAATATTCCATTTATAATAATATGTACATAGCTGGTTCAGACCAGGTTTTCTTTTACATACTTGTCAAAGACAGGTTTGACTTTGAGCCAGATTTCAGGTATATTTACCAGGAACCTAAAAAAAAAAAAAAAAAAAAAAAAAAAAAAAAA